ACATTGTGGCATTAACCATACCATACGGGTCAGGGTTAAATCGTGTTCCTTTTCGGTTACCTGCCTTTGAAGATCTGAGAAATTCTGCTCAACGGAGGAGTTCAAGTTAACAACCTAATTGAGTGCTGTGGCAAAGCTCTTGCCGATTAACTTGCTTATGACCATAGGCTTAGAACAGAGAAGTACCAAAGTTAATGTGGCTCACGTGGCCATGAAGCTAACGTGAGAAGCATCGTGTATGAATCGTCGCGTATCGTGCAGCCTCAATGGGGCTGCAGGGGCGCGCTCTTCATTGATTGGGTAGTCTCCGGCAAAGTAATGACGAGGTATCCTGAGTGCCCAACCAATAGTCATCTGCGTTGATGAGTAGAGATCACAACAGCGATAGCGCTTTTCTGGTGTGCCAATATGTATTTGGAACTTCGCAAATACAATTCTCGAAGCATAATTCTGATGATCGTGTGCACCAAACATTAGGAAACGCAGATTGATGAAAGGATCGGAGGTGGTGCATGGTCAAGGCTCGGGATCCACTCGAAAAAAAAGAAAAAAAAGAAAAAAAATAGCGATGTGTTCCCTCAAACGCGAGCGCGATGCAGACACGCTTTTCTGATAATTAATCTTATCTGGAAATCGAGCTTTCTAAGCCTCTGGTCGGGTCTAAGAATGCAGTGAAAGCCGGTAGCCTGATCGTCGCGGGTGCCCACACCGCCCAGACTCCCGAAAAGCTCAGACCACGGCAGATACATCAGCCCATATTCAATGAGGCGAGTCCCTTTTGTACTACGCTTATGTGCGGCTTCAAGCAAATTGTCGATGATTGGCTCTTGTGGAAAACAAACAAGGGAATCGGGGAACTCTGGAGTGCACCAAGTAATAATTAGGCGCTGCGTCTGCTCAGGGTACACTGGCGCGCACAGATTAGTCGTCGCGGTGACAGCGACACCATGGTGGTAGCTACCGACATAGATATTGTAGAATCGGTTGTGCACCAGACACTGATTTCTTCGAATCAAGCAAGCCCGAATGGTCCTATGATCTTTCACTACGCGGTGATCATCAGTAAGCACATATAAAAATAAAAAATAAGAATCAAAATCAAACTGAGCTATCTAATATAAGCTGCGAACTCTCCCTCGGCGGCGTAGTGAGGAGAGCCCAAAACTCAGAATGCCTTTTAGTCACCATTTCTGTGATCTTGGAATCACACATGGTCAGGATATCCTCGAAGATCCTGCCGAAGCTCGCATGACTGCCCCTTTGATCCAGCTGATCTAGATCTTTGCAGGCATCATGGAAGGTATATGGGTTTGCATCCACGAAACATTGACTCTCGCTACATTCTTCCAGCCACTCTATCCCTAGGATTTTGAGATCCCGCTCCTTCGCATCTTTGATGAACCGGCCACCACTTTTGAAACAGAGTTCCGTAGTAACAACATGAGTTGCTTTCTCTAAGTCGGTAGTAAAACTGGCGCCAATGGTATGAATGAGTTTTCTGACTTTGTTTTGATTGTGAGGCTTTTTGAATCTTCCTCGGAGGGCCACGCAAGGTAGTATGTGGTTGGTCATGAGCACACTATTTGAAGCCAAGAGCTCGCCAGTGTTGTGCCAATTTATAGACTATATTACAAGTCTAGAACGATCTCCCTTCACTACTCGCTCACTCTTGACAGAAAGTGGAGCGTAGAATCATGTACAAAAATTGATTGATCGTGGTGAATTTAGTCACTATAACAAACTGATTCGCGGTAGTAGCTTTTTGGACCCGGATAAACAATTCACGCATGTTGTTCAGCAGCGTAATCCGGCGTAGAGACACTTTAATCATGCCACTAAACACGTCACGTCAACCCTACTGATTACATTAGCATCACGCTATAGTCAACAGCGAAGTAGAAAATCTAAGGACGACGGTACAGTATTACTCCATACCCTCACGGCGTTTCGATAGGTCGACTAAATCGTACGCCTCATCATCGGCCAAGACTATTGCCGGCTGTTGGTGTGATGATTCCTCAGCCATAAACCTGAGATGGCGTTAGGCCTCTCTTCTCAATATCAAGCATCGGGTAATATGCGCGAGAAGTCATCAGTTGGAAGACGATACAATCATGCCAACCCTACTACATAAACTCTAACCGGGTTACGTCAATATTCCAAACTCGAGTCGAAGAATGAGCTATACCCATCGCTCA